AGAAGACAAGAAAACAATGGCTCTCCACTACGGTTCTACAAACTCACAAAAACAAAATTAAGGAGTGGACCCGCTAATGCATGGCCATTAGATCACTAGGATATTTAAGGACTGGATCACAAATTTAAATTTAAGTTAATGAATTCTAGATTCTACGACATGACAGTTTATGATTTATAAATGTGAGATAAATTATTTAAGCGGATTCTTCAAAAAAATACATCATATACATATACCAAAGATATATATATATTGATATTCTGCCCAACCTATAAATTATACTGTTATAGTCCATCCGTCACAAGGATTCATCCTAGCTCTTCTTCCAAATAAAAGTGTGTTTTGTCCCCTTTGTGTTGTAGATATTGACTTACATCGTTTGTGACATTTCATAGACTAATTTTATATAGCTTAAGGCATCAAATTTCTTTTGATAGAAAAATAGTTGTTTTTTTTTTTGTATAGATAATAAATGTTAAAGTCCTTTTATTAGCTAATGAATTAAATATAGGACAAAATAATATTATTACCAATAAGGTATATATATGCGTAATTTTGTATACGACTTAATTATGCCTATATTTCTGAAATCTAATGTTGAAGCCAATAGGAACTCCTCCAAAGTTTGGAACTTCCTTTTGTCAATATTAGCTAGCGCAACCTACGAACGTTGACTTTTATTTACCTGCTTAATTATTGACTAAATCAATTGGGCCAAACAGTGTATAACTAACTCAAACCGATTTTTTTAACAATAGGTATGAATGGCAAATCGTATATATATATATATTTAAAGATTTAATTCTTAGTGAAACAGTTAGTAAATGTCATGTCAGCACCTTCACATGCAATTGCTTCAGTATCTCGATCACTGTATAATATGGGAAAACAAAATAGCTTCTATAGAAACGATGACAATCGTAGTAGCGGATTCAATATTTTCACTAAGCAAAATTAAAAAATAGAAATTTATTGATTAAAATTTGAACTTAAATCAAGATTAATTATTAAGTCAAATTCTAATATTTTATCTAGGGAATTCAAAATCAATATATATATATATATATATATATATATTAAAACTAAAAAAAATACATTATATACACAATATAATTTTTTGATGAGGAAGTTTGGATAAATATCCTCGCCTCCTCCTAGATCCATCCTAGCATGTGGTGACAGGCAAAACAAACCATTTGTCATTCCATCGTTTTGAAATAGTCACCAACTTTTATATATATTTGTTAGATTTCCAACGGATTGAAATTCTGTATATGCGGTTAAACTCTTAAGTAAGTTAATGAATGGCGTAAATATAATTAAACAAACTTACCTATTTTTCTTTTTAATAAAATAAAAGGTTCCATTCGGTCTATAATAGTACTAGTAAAATATTATTGCAGAGGAGTAAATTAACTTTTGGGCCTGATTTATGTCCTTTTTTCGCCAACTAGGATATGTTGTCAATTGGATCAATATTTGGATGTATTTGAATTGAAAAGTAACCGTTAGTGCAAGTATTTATTTTTAATTAATAAACGTAAGTACTAATCATCTTAATAAATTTAGTTTAATTACTGGAAAAAATAAATGTTTGAAATACTAGTTGGAGATTATTAAAGAATTGAACACGTGAATTCCTGTCAGACAAAACATTGATCCAACGACTTGTAGAAATTTATAAAATTTTACTCCTACTATATGATTTGAAAGTGAATGGAGTTATTACAAAGGGCGGTGGTTAGGTGATTAGGGGATTGCTAATACTTCATGGTAGTCTCGTGCCAGCAAATGATCACTTTATCTTCTACTTCATGTGATTTTTTTTTTTCCAAAAGCAACTCTATAAATTATAGGGAAAAAGGATAAATATACTCTGAACTAACGTAAATGGTATGCATATATCCTTCGTTATATTTTTGGGACATTGATACCCCTGTCTTCCAAAAATTAGAGCATATATACCCTTTATAATAACGAACATACACGTGTCACAATTCTATCCACTGACTCGACATTTATTAAATATCAAATTGACGAACAAGATTGCACCACGTGTCCCTATATAGTCTTCCGTTAGAGTGAATGACATATATGCTCTAATTTTTATACGGCAGGGGCACCAATGTGCCAAAAGTATGACGGGACGTATCTGCATACCATTTACGATAGTTCGAGGATATATTTGTCCTTTTTCCCTAAATTATATTACACCCACCAGCCACCGGTATTATACCTATATACCCCACAAATCAAATGCTCCAAACATAATCAAGAAAATCCTCACCGTGTACAACTGTAGAATTTTATAACACTGGATATTTGAAGTAAGAATACTAATATATTATAATTATTTGATATTCAATTGAATTTGATTTGGGTAATTAATATATGAATGCCTTTTGAGTTGGGGTGCGACCTCTTGTTCATTGCCAAGACTTCATGCTTAACGATACTTTTGACCTTGAACATTTTTCAAGGGCAAGTAGTGGTAAAAATTTAAGATCATCAATTTTTACGGTCAATAAGTATAGATTTTTTGTTGGACTCTAGTATCATATTAAAAAATAATTGTTGAGCCTAACTGATCCCAAATGTCTGCTTTTAATGGATATTTTAAGCGTGAACAATATAATATGAGGAGTCTAATTAAGTTTGTAACCATTTGCATCCAAGTTTATATTCACACTGCGGTGAGACTCAAGTTTGTAATCCATTTGCATCATAATCAATTTGACTCTCTTTTTCTTGCATTGGCTTTGTCCGTTACACACTTCTTCATCAGTTCACTTTATCTTGGATAAGGAAAAGAGTTGGAAGGAAAAAGAAAAAACAAAAAACAAAGTTAGGCTTTAAATCTTTAATATTACATTTAGTCAACTATTTTATTTTCTTTATTCATCTTTTAAGGGTTTTAAAGTAAATGAAATCCTTTTTTTAACTTTACCCTTGACAGCTAATAAGTTTCTATAAAGAAGAAAATCCACTACTTAGAAACTATTGCATCAAGAATAGATAGTATAATTTATTTATGTATTCTTAGAAATTAATTCTTTGTACGTGGAAATTTCGTAAGTTAGTGATACATTTCCTTAATTAATAGTAGTTTTGTTTTTTATTCACTTGTCTCAATTTAGAATCCCATTTACTTTGGGTACAGTAGATAAAGTTAGAATTGAAACATGATTAATTTGAATGGTCCAAAGTATAAGCAGATATTACTTTAATACTAATAGAATGTTGAAAGTCACCGCAACTTATTTCTCTTGGGAAATTAAAGTAGCACCACTTTCGGACAATTTTAAATTTAAAATAGGCAAAACTCTATGATAAATAATTTTCATTTTGATAATTCAATCCTAAATTGGCAGTTATTTTTAATCATACCATCAACACTAAAAGAAGTTTTCTTTTTAAAAAAAAAAATACTGATCAATTCTAATAATATTCTATTAGTTGTGGTTGGCATAATACTCATTCCATCCTATTTTAATTATGGTTTTAACTTTTTCAGGTTAACTAAAACAAATACAAGGTAATAGTGTACTAAATAATTCCAATTTAATAAAAATAAATTGTTCCCTTCCTCTTAAATAATGTGCAATTAATTGTATAATTGAAAATAATTGCTAAGTTTGATCTTGAATTGTTAAGATAATAGTAATTATTTTGAAATAATATTTTTGTGTTAAAATGAGACGGTATGTACTGAGGATCAATTCATTATAAAGCATTTAAATGTTCTTCTGTTTAGAAAATAAAGTCAATATATAACTCTGTCCATTTTAATTTGATTGTCTAGTTGAAATAAGTTTTGTAATTAAAAAATAATAATTAAAATATGTTAAAAAATTATCAAGAATATAAAAGCAAAAACAAACAAATTGAAAAAGTATTGAGGTGCATTCATATTAAATTTTTTTTGGAAGAAAATAAAATTTCAAGTGGACTACAAAATAGGTTGTCTTCAACACGACAACGTGCCGTTCCCCTTAAAAGCTGCTCTCTTACGTACTTATATTTATTAACCTCAATGCTAAATTTTATTTATCCCACTACCTACCTCTTACTTAATAGTATGGACCTCAAAACTGCAATTTTCTGAATAAATTTTTAGCCTTATATAGACTAAAGTATATGATATTACATGTAGGAGTAGTACTGTAAAATGTAAAATATAATTCTTCCACAACAAAAATATAAAAAAAAATTTAAGAAAAGAGGATCCCTATTATCCATGTATAGTAAATCATTTTCCATATATGCCAAATTAATTATTTTACCATATTTTAGGTTGGTCCAATAACTTATTTTCCTTGTACGATCTTTTCTTTAATAAAAGTAAATCATTTTCCAAATGTTCACCATTTCATATTCTACTGGTATAGATAATAAGTAATTGTATACAAAAACTTAAGAATATAATTTACTTCTTCTTATTTTTATTTATTTCGTTTCTCTGTTTAGTATTGAATTGTAATATGCTATAATTTTCTTCTCATTTATATTTACAGGAAGATATTTTGAAATTCATTTTTATTCCAAATATAAAATAATTTTATCTTGATTTTTGCAAATACTTTTATTTAGATACGATAATATTTGAGCATTTTAATAATCATACCTAAATTGCTCAATCAACAAATTGAGGAAAGGTATTAAAACTTTTCTTTGTTTATACAATTGGACACTGTTAATTTAGAAGTTAGAAAGGACCAAGAAAAAGAAAAAAAATTAGTGGACTACTATTTTTAACTTAAGATATTTTTTTAAATTGCTTCATATACCCCTATATTTGTAGAATGTTGTAGAGAAGTCCACAATTAAATTAGGTGTAATTAATACTAATGCTGTCATTTCCATAATGTATATGGAGAAAAGAAAAAAAGGAAAAAAAGAAAAAGGGGTCTATTTCCAAAATCTTTAAAGTGGGACACCACTCTACAAACTTGCTATAAATATCCTTAACTTTCTTTAAGATCCAAAAAACTCAACTTCTCCTTTTCCCCAAATTCACTTCTCCACCGTTGCCACACACTCGCTTTTGCTTCATTTCGCCGTTTCTGTTAAACAAACCATTACCGTTTATCGTTGTGATCGGATTTTTTACACTCTTTTCCGGCCGGGTTGTTGAAGTAACAATGGTCGACGTAGACCGGAGGATGACCGGACTGAATCCGGCTCACTTAGCCGGACTCCGCCGTCTATCCGCAAGAGCCGCCGCTTCTTCTCCGTCAACTCCGGTGCCTCCTCGGAATAGTCTCCTTTCTTTCTCCTCCCTTGCTGATAAAGTTATATCTCATCTCAAGAGCTCTGGTATTCAGGTTCAGGCCGGGTTGTCGGATGTGGAGTTCGCTAGAGCTGAAGCAGAGTTTGGGTTTGCTTTTCCACCTGACTTAAAAGCTGTTCTCTCCGCCGGTTTACCTATCGGACCCGGTTTTCCTGACTGGCGCTCTACCGGTCCGGCTCGGTTCCAGCTTCGTGCTTCGATTGACTTACCCATCGCTGCAATTTCATTCCATATAGCTCGTAATGCTTTGTGGTCTAAGTCATGGGGTCCTAGGCCATGTGACCCAGAAAAGGCAATTAAAATAGCCAGAAATGCTCTCAAAAGAGCTCCACTTCTGATACCCATTTTCAACCATTGTTACATTCCTTGTAATCCTTGTTTAGCTGGTAACCCAATTTTCTACGTGGACGAAAATCGGATTTTCTGCTGCGGATTTGATCTATCCGACTTCTTTGATCGTGAATCATCTTTGTTCCAAAGTGATCCTCAGATTCTTTCAAAACAACGCTCTTTAAGCGAAAAATCAGCTGGTTCATCATCCACTTTCTCAAGGAGGAGCCTCGATACACTCTCCGGTGGTCGGACGCCGCGTTGGGTGGAGTTCTGGAGTGATGCTGCCGTAGATCGAAGGCGGAGGAACTCAAATTCGTCATCGTCATGTTCAACCTCACCGGAAAGGTACTTTGAAATGCCCAAGTCCAAAATGCCTAATTGGGTCGACGAGTACGTAGATAATATCGGGTCGGTTTTGAAAGAAGGCGGGTGGGCTGAATCGGATGTGAAGGAAATTGTACAAGTTACAGCTTCTGGATTCTTCGAAGGTGAAATGATATTGTTGGATAATCAAGCGGTTATGGATGCTCTTCTTGTGAAAGCGGATCGGTTCTCTGATTCGCTCCGTAAGGCCGGGTGGAGCTCCGAAGAAGTTTCCTATGCACTGGGTTTTGATTATCGACCGGAGAAGGAAAAGAAACCGGCTAAGAAGCTTTCACCGGAGTTAGCGGAAAGAATCGGGAAATTGGCTGAGTCGGTAACCCGTTCACGGTCATCATCATAGAATTGGTTAACCGGCTACCGGCAAACATCGAGATTCCTTTTTTCATGTTCTTTTTTAGATTTTCGAAACCTCGGGTTTGGTATATGCCTCTTTTTGGGTACAATTGATATTCAGAGGCAAAAAAGAAACAAATACGCGTTGATGTATTATTATTAAAAAAGTACAAAGAATTTGAAAGATGGAAAAAATTAGGAGAAAGTGTATTTTATTAAGTTCTCTGTTTTTCCGTATTGGAATATAAAAACTTGTTGGTAAAAATGTTATACAGCTGCAAGTGTTGTGGTAAATAAAACTTTATTAATAATAATAATAAAATGTAGTGGGTAAGGATTAATGTGGCACAGGTTTCGAATAGGGGGAATGCACGTGTGTGCCTTTCTGAAGAAAAAGAGACGTTGCTTTAGGCCCCTCCCTTACGAAAACTTAGCATTGTAATTGCTCAGTCTCAATTTATTTATCGTAATCCTCTTTTTATCAGAAAATATGAATGAAATCAACGGCGTATGATAGAGGTTTGAGTTATTTGCAGTAGAGAGGGAGGGTGGGGGCGTGGGACAGTGCATTGCTTTCGAGGTAAGCGATAGCCAGCCCACGGCGTCGTTTCAATAATTGTCAGTGTAATAAATGAGTATGCTCGTGCTGTTTGGCAAATTGTGCGGAGAAATATGTATAGTATCTGTTTGGTTTTGGCAGGAAATTCAGGGAGTAAATAAATTTCTGCTTTTATTTCAGTTTTCCTCCTTCCACATTTTGCCCTTTTTCGGGATGCACAAAAGCCTATACATAAATTTAGAATTTCAAAAACAAGTGGATGTTCTGTTTGATTTTTAAACTATACTACAAGTGTAATTATAGAGCAATTGTTCGTTGATGTACGTACGCATAAATTGATTCTAGCATAGTCACTATCAAAATTAGAGAATACACGGGCTAATTCCGCGTACGTGTGGAAGTAAGTAGCAAGTGAAAGGGGATGGATGAGTAATTCTTTTGAGGCAGAGTATAGTGTCTTTTGAGTTTAGAGAGTGGGGAAAGGGATAGATAGCAATGTGTAGAATACATTTTTTTCCTACTTTGGAATTTGGAAAGTGTTTTGTATGAATTGAATATATAATAGGGGCAGAAGAAGGCTGACACTTGAAAAACATCTCCTAGTTTAGCTTTTGAGAGACACAACAACAAGGTGCTACTTTGCTTTTGAAACCTTCAATTATTCTGGCTCTTTCTTTTCCCTTTTTTCTATTGCTTTTGTTTTGTTTGGTTTCTTCATTCTTAGTTGTAGTGTTGGAACGTCTCTCTTTGTTCCCACTCTTCCAATTACCAAATAGATATAGTGTTTAGTTGTACTAATATTAAATTAATCTTGTTTACACATTGTCTTTTTTATACTTAAACTCATTATCCAAGTCAAAGTGATGAGATTTTAACGAGAGATTGCTTGCTTGGTTTCCACGGACTAATTAGTCAACTTGTCTTTTACTAATTAAAAAAATTATGTCCACCACCATCTTTCCCATGACAGATCTACTTTCTTTGATATGTATGTTGTCATAGAAATGACTTGTCTTAAATTTATAAATTACGTAGATTATTGAATATATATATATATGATGTGACACCTTTATGTTACTATTTCTTATCTTCCAAAAATTATTTTGATATTATTGTCTACCACTAAAATATATTGGATCTCAACAATATTGGAAATGAACCTAGAATAAAGTTAGTGACTTATTATATTTAGATAGTAAAAATGACGTTTTTTTTCACGATAGTAAGTTCATAGTTAATGTCCCTTCGAATTTGCTCAATGTCCTTCATAAATGTTCTCAACTGTGACATTTTGATGATTGACAAATAAACTGTAATCTTAATCTTTATCTTAATATAATATAAAAGAGAAACATAGACAAGGTGATGTGACACATTTCTATGATCTCCATATGTATTTATCTTTTTTCTCATTTTTTTGGCCTTTCTTTTTATTTAAATTAATTATTTTATTGTAAAAGTCAATTATTTAATTTATTACAATAAATATTATATTAATGGAAAAACATTTACAAGAAAGACTCTTCACATGCCAACTTACAAGGAGTAATTATTCATAATTCACACCTCTCTAATTTCTATTATTAATAAAACAAAAAAAAAATTGTCCTTCTTCTAATTATAATTATTTATTTAATATTTTATCTTTATTATTTAATTTATATAAAAGGTTTTATTACTTAATTAATTACAAAAATCTATATATATAATAAAGGTCTCTATAAACAAGGTGATGTGGCACCTCTCAATGGCCTAGAAAGCTAATTTATCTTTTTTCTTCCTTTTTTGAGTTTTTCCATTCATTTTTTTTCATTAATCAATTCATTAAAAAATTTAAAAATCAATCATATTCATTACATATAATTATATCACATGAAAGTTACAAAAAAACTTCTACCTATTTGAATTCTCTAATTAAATAATATGTCTCCTCAACTTCCTTCTACTTAATTCTCATCTATAAATAACAATCTATGGTGTTGTTGCATGTCAATTTCTATTTTCTCCAACTTCATATTGTTAATATATTTTTTTTGTTTTTCAGCTTTTATGAAGATTATAGATATATTTTTTAGAATTTCTTCTTGTGTTACAATTGCCAAGAAAAAGTTTATCAAGATGAAGAAGAAAGTTTGAAGGCGGTGTAAGATTCGTCAAAAGAGATTCAAAAATTAATTCGCTACAAGTCATCAAAATGAAGAAGAAAGTTTAATGACGGTGGGAGATTCATCAAGAGTTGGAAAGAGTAAAATTTGAAAAAGTAGAAGTTTCAATAATTTACAAATATATAGATGCACTTATTGTTGCTTATATAATTTTTCAATTAATTATTTATCCATCAAGATATGTACCCTTCAAGAACACGATTATATTACAAAGCACACTTTTTGTATCAAGGGCAATATGATCTTCCACGGATTATTTTGTTGCTTAAAGAATTTTTTTGATATTTTCATTATATAAACTTTTGTCTTTTGCATATACAATTCATATTTTATATCGATATATATTATGTATATAACATGTTAATATGACATAATTTTTTAATCAAGATTCTATCATCTTTTGTTTAGCTTTATCCACTTCTTTTCATTCTAATTTAGATGATATAACACATTTTTTTCTTTTGTGGATTTTGAATTGACTAAAAAGGAGATGAGTTCCCCTCCATTAAATTTTTGTTTCTTATTTGTTAACACTTGTGTAAAACTAGTCGATATATATTATTGTTGGATTCAAATTTCACAAAACATTTAATTCTTCTAATTTAATGAAATTTTTCAGAATGAACCAAGTTTGTTCTGCCAATATCTAATTACAATGAACATATTTTCTTAAGTTTTAGAGAAAATTGATGTTTGTTTAAGTTGATTATGAAACTCAAAAAATGAGTTTACTCTCTTCATTAATTAATTTGTTTGATAACTAAAAAAATATATATAATATTTATTACAGCTAATTACATCTCATAAATTACAAAAACCTTCGTTTATTCACTTTTTCTACTTAAATAATGACATATCTCCTCAACTCCTTTCTACGATTCTTTTCATTACCTCTACATTTAGTTTTCCCAACATATAATAGATTTAGATTTTAGTCTATTATTTGCACATCAGCTATTCAAGATTTACACGTAGAACATTTTCATGGGAGCATATGTTTTTTCTTTATTTGTGGTTGTAAGCTTTTGGTAACAAGACATACTCTAATTTTGTTTAAAATTAATAGGGAAATACTACTATGTTGCGTTGTTCTTTTTATTAAAGGGTCGATCCATCTCATGACTTATAATTTTTTTTATATATTTATATTTTCTGCTAAAATAACATGTCTCCTCAATTTTCTTTTACTTAATTCTTTCTCTCTCTTTTTTAATACTTCTTTCCATTTTTCTTTCATTTACATCATATATTAAAATTACTCAAAATTAGGTCATTTATCTATTTCATAAATGAGCGCTCTAAATAACTTTAAAATAAATAATTTATTTTCCTGATGACGTTATGTACACATTCTGTATTTAAAAAGTCATTTCTTTTATAATTATTTAACATTGTAAATGAGGGCAAAAATGGAAGAATTTTTCAACATCTCTCTTAAACTTGGAACAATTCACTTATTTTGAACTATGAAAAAAGGCTCAACAATTCACTTATTTTGAAATAGAGGGAGTAAGTATTATTTATTAAAACTCGAGATTTTTAAAGTTTGTACTAAAATAATGAAATATATTTTTCTATTTTCTAACTTTTTAGTAATTAAATAAATGACCTCAACAAAACATACAAAATACACACTAAAATGAATTGAAGTATTATTTTAGTGAAATATATTGAGTAAATAAAGATAAACTTTTTTTATTATTTGTGTAAAGACGAAAAAAATTATAAATAATTTTGATATGATATAAAAACAAACAATAGCAGAAACTCTTATATACTAAAAGTCCTACTTATTCTTTTTCTCCCATTCTTTGCATTTTTTGTCATTATTTAAATTGTGATTTTCTCTAAATAATTATATATTTAGTGAGTTTTGTAACTCCTCAAAAGTTAAAATATTCACTATTTATTATTTGTATAATTACTTTGATAATTAAAACAAATAAAAATGACGATATATTTTGTATCGAGTTGTTTGTTGAAATATTAATAATATTGATTGCTTTTCAATTTTATTATTACGATTTTTTATATTTATATTTTATTTGATTAGAAAATAGTTAGTCGTTCTTTCCTTTGTATTACTATAGACATGCTTTTTGTTATTTTTCATATTTTAACTTGCACAATTTATTTATTTTAAATAAAGAATTTTATGAAAGATTACGTACCTAACAAGTATATTTTTTGTTAAATAAATCATATTGAAGAATTATATTTAAAAGGGTCTAAGTTCAGTAGTTCCTTATATAAAATAAGCAATGCTACTTTTAAAAAACGAGGAGGAAAGATTATTTACGTTTCATTTGATGATCCATGACAAATAAAAAATTAAGCAGAAAATTAAGTTAGCATTTTTTTTTTCAAAATATTAAACATATTCTTTTCACCCCAACAAAATAATACGAAAATAGTATTTTATAAATTGAAACAATTATCATAAACATTTTAAAGCTTTTACCAAAGTATTGATCATATTTCTTCTTTT